TAGACAAATTGCTTAAAGAGATAAGAAATATTTCTTTATTTAGATATTCTTATTTACTGTAAATAAAAATGTACAAGAAATTTTGTCAATTACAATCTGGGATGGGGAATTTTAATTCAAGAGACCTTGAATATGTGCAATTTGAACAAAATATTTTTAATAATACATTTCACCTAAAACCCTACCATTTTGACTACAGAATGTGCTTTATAACTTACTAGCGATTACACAAGTCATTAACAAAATATCGTGCTTGTAAAAAGGTAATTATAATCATCGATATCGGGATTAATAGTGCAACAAATTGGGAATATTGTCTGCCGCCAAGAACTGGCTAACAGGCAAAAATGTTCTGAGATGGCGGTCATCCACGTTCAGTGCGTATGCCGTGATTATTCCGGATCTCCGTAAACGCGGTTAGAGTTCTGTTGATGTGTGGCTTGTTATAAGTTCAATCAACAGGAAGTGAATGTCTAAATATGCAAAGATACCATCTTCCGACAACACGATTTAAATCTCTCCAGAGTCCTTCAATTCTTTGGCTATGATCGGATGAACCGTATATATGACTGCCACGATCATCTCCTCGTGTTTCCAACATGTGTCTTGCTACTTCTGTATTTTCCACTCCACGATCGCTTCTTGTTCGTGATGGTCCATGTGCCCATCTACTGCAAGTCAAAAAGTAACTAAGATTGTTGCAGCCGTAGTATCTGTATTACACTCTAAATATGTAATAACACGGAAGTATCCATCGATACAACCGTTCATTAACAAACTTGTATCTAATCAGTTTATGGTTGCCATCCAAATGCCAAAGTGCGTTTGGACCAGAAACGTGATACTGTCTCCTAGGGATCAAATGCTCCTATCGTGAATGAGGGCCGTAATGCCTATAGAGGTCAACCGTTGCCTATTATAGCCAGCGTTCTCGACATTTTCCTCTTGTCCGGTTATGAAATAAAAGAACTCATATGATATATGCAGTTAGTGATTATGCTATGACATAAATTG